CTGCTACTACCATCCCCCCCTCCTTCTCCCCCAAACACTATGTACCCTCAACATGAATGTATCCAAGCTATCTTTCCGGACTGATACAGTCATAAGACCCTCATTGTGCTCGGGGGAAGACGGCAGTAGTGGAGTGGCACTCCACTCCGGACCTAGGTCCCACTTGGAAGGATTAAGAAAAGACGCCCCCCCCCCCCAAAGAAAAGGGGAAAAAAAAGAGAGAGAATCTGACCGTCGATCTTGTTTTATGTATGGACAATATCTTTTTTTTTCCCGTTAAATGTACGGATATTATTACCTCTTAATCTTCGTTCAAGTGGGACTCGCAGTTAGATGAGGGAGCGAGCTCCCATCTACCTGCCTCAGTGGGAGATTCTTCATTCTAGACCGTAGATTTTTTTAGGATGAACGGCAAGAAAGACGTATCCTGTTTTCAATTGGTAATAAAATTTTATTTTGCGAAAAAAAAAAGAAAAAGACAGATCCAGGTAAGTGGGACCTTGCACTGGAAGTTGATTAATGCGTTTTTTAGTACTCGATCATTCTGTATTGCTTTGTTCTGGGACACTCACCAATATATTTACTCTGTGAACTGAACGTGTGGGACTGAGGTCCCAATCAGTACCAGATTCTGAGTTTTCCATCGAGTACCAGATTCTGAGTTCCTCAAGTACTACGTACTAAGTAGTACCATTTTCTGAGTTTCCCAATTAATACCAGATCCTGAGTTTTCTGATTAGTACCGGATTCTGGGTCTCCCAATGGGTATCAGATTCAGTCCGGCGAGTGAGGGGGACCATGCCTTGTGTGCGGTGGGGCTGCTGGTTGCTATGTTGAGAGTCTTGAGACACACAGTTAGATGGGTGCAGGGTTCGAACTCAGGTCTGTTTAGCAACACAGTTTTACATGGATGTCAGATGGGGCTGGGTTCTGTCGCGTCTGTGACTACCTTCTTCCCCTGAATATAACATACGTCGTACGGTCATTATAGCTGTATCTAGTAGACTGAAAGATGCCCCAAATACAGCTATAATGACCGTAGGTTATATTCGGGGGAAGAACTTCAAGGTAAGACTGACGAAACACGAATGCGCTTTGTTTGTTTTTCGCAGCACGTTTCCGGGGCCAAACATCATGGCTCAAGACCCGGTAGGGCAAGTTCGAGCATGGAGATTGATTGTCCGCCAAGGGCGTAGCTCGGCTCAGCGCAACGGCGGCGCAGGGCAACGCAACTGGGTAGCGCAGAGCTCTAGCGCTCCGGCGCCTGCAGTCCCCCTCTTCCCTTTGTTTTTTCAACTTTTGTTCTTTCACCTTTCTTCCTCTTTGCCCTCTTTTTTTTTGGGCAAATTCAAATTGCATCAGTACCCCACTTAAAGATGGGAATACCCACTATACCCAGCCCCAGCGCGAACTTGCATCCATACCCGGAGGTCGTTCAACCTTGCATAGTACCCAGCTTTTCCCCTGTGCGACATTGTAAGTGTACCCAGTCTCGCACTGCCAGACCCTCGGATAACAACCGCGAAGTTATGCTCGTGCCCATAAAGTAGACTCTTCTGCCTGAACGGCTGCTGGGTATGAACATAATTTCAGCCATCCGGTAGCAGGGTATATGAATAATTTAGCCACTCCACCTCAGGTCCAGGGTATGCCCATAATTTTGCCTGGTGGGTATGTCCATAACTTGTGCATTCTGGCAGCTGGTTATAACTGCAATTTTGTGGTACCAACCTGGGGCCACCTCGGTCTTGGGCGTGCAAACAATTTCCACCAGCCGCTTTCTGGGTATAGATGCAAGTTGGCCTTGAGACTGGGTAAAGCCGGTATTCCCATCTTTAAGTGGGGTACAGATGCAATTTCTCCCTTTTTTTGAAAAACAGCTTAATACTCAATGGTCGGTCTCGAGGTCAATCCCAAGACTGGTTTGTGCTGGGGGCCCCTCCAATTACCCTTTCCTGAACTGAGAGATCATGGCCAACGATCTTTGTCATCTGTAGGGCCTATTGCTTAGGGCCTCAGGCTCGCCACACCTCTCACCAATTTGAAACCTATTTCTTCAAAAGTTCGGCAGCGACCACACAGCCCCATGGAACTCTGGCAAAAAAACGTTTTCCCAAAGTTGGGTCAGAAAGTGTTTCAAGAGGTCCTTCCTGGAATATCAAATGTGTACTAGTATGTGATGCATGGGCTGATCAAAGTCGAACCCTGGATCTCTTCCTTGCATCACCCTCGCTCTTAACCCACCGGTACTTGGCCCAGCTATAGGCCACAGAAAAAAAACAATAGAGTATAAACGTTTCTAGTCGGATGAATTTGGGCGCTCCTGTAGTGGCCCGTACATTTCCCGAAACGACTTTAGGAAGTACTGGTGGTTTAACCCACTGAGCTATGACATATTGTCCCTAAGTTGTCCTAGGCTCAGACACGTACGGAGGGCCAGGATTGGGTGTCTGCCAGGACAGCGGTCTGATGTTGGTGATTTCTGTCTTTGGGCTTATCCCAATGCGTAGACCGAAAGTTGGGGGGGGGGGGGGGGGGGGGGGGGGGGGGGGGGGGGGGGGGGAGGGGGGGGAATGGTCCCAGTAATTTTCTCTTCCGGGTTGTTTCAAGTTGTGGAGGATTCCCGGCGCCTTTATGTTTTTCTTTTTTGAAATGAGCAGAGTCTTTCCTTGTAAAAAAAGAAAAGAGAAACAAAAAAAGACAAGTAGTACGGGGTGTGCAACAGAGCACCCACTGATTGTGCAGGCTGACAGAAGGGAACCCACAACCTCCTTCAAGTTGTTGCAATGCCGGAGTTCTATACTATGCTTGTCCAAATCCAGATGTATTTCTGAACAGGCTTTTACTAACTTCTGTTTTCAAATTGGTGGGGAAGGTTGACCTGTGTTGGATGGCACAATTATTGCAGTTGATTTGAAGTACCCGTGGTCGTCCCAGCCGCGGAAAAAAACACCCGCCCGCCGGGGCGGTGGAAAGGCTCGCAGTGCCCATCATCAGAAAAATGCTGCTCATCTGACTTTTTGGCAGTTTTTGCTAAATTTGAAATATTTTTCTCATGCGATGAAATTGAACAAGGGCTTTTTGTTGTTGTCTCTTTTGTCGCTTCCAGATATGCTGGGGTGCCATCAGAAAAATGCTGCTCATCTGATTGTTTGTTAAATTTGAAATATTTTTCTCATGCGATGAAATTGAACAAGGATTCTTTGTTGTTGTTGTCACTTTTGACCCTTCCAGATGCTTGGGTTCCTTAGTTGAAGGCGGTATGCACTAAAGCTAAGTGATCGGCACCAAATTTGGGAAAAAAGCTTACGAAAAAAGAGGCAAGAAAATCCTTCCTCAATTTCGTCGTGCGAGCAAAATATTTCAAATTCATTTAGTTCAATGAAAAGTCAAGTTGCAGGTGCTGCGATGGCTCAGATTTCATAGCGGTGGGCAAATGTCCGCATTCAATTTGGGAACAAGTTTCGAAAAAGAGGTTGGTGACCACTGCCCGTTTAGGGGCGTTCCTCCGCACTGGAGGTCTTGGGCCTTGCTCCACTACTCTCTCTATTCATGGATTTGGTTCGGTATAAAGGCCGAAGGCTTTCTGTTTTCATAATATTATTTGGGTTCGTGCTGGAGTTCTACGGTCATCATCATACCGTTATGATCAGTTAATGAGACTTGGCTGGAATGTCTTCTTGCCTTTACTGTTGGCATGGGTAGTTTTTGTATCTGGTGTTTTAGTAGCCTTTGACTGGCTACGTAACGCCTCTTGTGTTACAGTAGCCTTTGTGTGCCTGTATTTACTCTCTCTTAGGTGCCTACACAGCCACCTCTAGCCTTTTTCCAGATATCTGCGATTCTCTTATCTGACATCAGACCAGACGGGAAGCGTCTGCTGAGCACAGTGCAAGGGAAATCAATACTCTACACAAGGGTGAGATTGATTCTGGATATTAATTAAACCACCGGTACTTCCTAAAGTTGTGCCCATTAATTAACCGGCCACAATTTTAGGAAACGTATGGGCCACTACAGGAGCGCCCAAATTCATCCGACTAGAAAAGTTGTTTCTACTCTATTCTTTTCGATAGCTGGGCCAAGTACTGGCGGTTTAAGCCACCAGGAATTCGCCCAGCTATTAAAGCCGAGCCTGAAAATGCCCTGCGCACGCCATAGTTTGTCGAGCCTTCAGGGGGCGGGGACCAATATGGGACATTTGTTGCTTGGCACAGGTACCGCCCCTTATGCTGGACCTGCTGCCTGCAGCTGGAACGTAAAGAGGCCGTCGTTTTCATGTTTCCACCTGAAAATGGCCTGGCCAGAAGTGCACAGCCAGATCCATTCTGGAAAGAGCTTGCTGGCAGGTAGTGAATGCTCCCCGTCTCTCTCACGGGGAGCCAAAGCACAAACAGCCAAGAAAAAAAAGAACAAAGGGGAAAAGGGATACCAAGCTCTGAACGTGATTGCCCTCAGATTCATCCACTGCCGCCCAGAATTGCAGCCAGATAGATTCTCAAAAGTGCTAAGTTGCTAACGCTACATTTCTCGATTTATGCGGGTCATCCTTGCGCAGGGGCCATTTACTAATCTTCTTCCTCTGTATCGTTCCAATTTTAACGGATGTCCCAAAGGACGTGCTAACGTTACAATGAAGCCCTGAAATAGAAAGGGCTGGCAGGTGTTGAATGTTTGCCCCCTTTCCTTGGGCATACGGGCTTCCTCCCCCATTGCACTACCGACCCCTCCCTGACCCCCAAAAAATGCAGCCGACCCCTATCCTACATCATGATATATTTTTTCCTGATGGTGATTCTGATCTTCGTGTTATGGATGTTGGTTCGTGTTTTATGGCATTTTCAGTATAGAAAAAGTCAAAAAAAGCAATTCCAGAGAAGAATGGTTCAATAGTGAATCGAGAGGTGTCAGACTCTTGATTTGTTTGACGACTCTCAAATTTTTTTTTGGCTGAAATCGAGGCCTCGCTGCACGTACTCTTGATCGGGCACACTCACCAAATACTTCCCTGTTCTTCTTTTTTTTTCCCTTTTTTTCTCAATACAAAACACCAAAAGAAAAACAGAAAAGAAAAGAAGATTCATGGCAATGCCAGTTACTAAAGTTGATCATGTGGTTCTCCTACCACCGCCAGGATAGAGAGATATCGAAAGGGCATTAAAAAAAAAAATAATAATAAAAAAAAATGATAAATTATCAACATTATTAAAATTATTTAAATTAATGAATTATGTTAATGGAACTTAATTTCAACTTGTTAAATGTATGGAATTGACAGCAACCGACCTTGCTGAGCCTTTTTGGTAAATGGCATTGCTTCTTCTTCTTCTTGTTTTTCTTCTTCTTCTTCTTCTTCTTCTTCTTCTTTTGGGATAATTTACAAAATACCCCCATAAGTTGAGATATGTGCCAAAATGCCCCTAAAAGATGTGGGTAGAGCGGAATGCCCCTCTGAAAAGAAACAAATTAATAATTATCCCTTTTTTTTTTCTTTTTTTTTTAATGGCATTATTTTGAATACTTTCTAACTGTCATTCTTGCTGTCATTCTGTGGGATTGTTTCGTCATGCAGAGTCACAGATCAGAGCCAACTTAGCCGAGTGAAGATTTGCCGAAAATAGAAACACTTCCCGAATTAGACGCCCTCATGCCCTTCGGAGTTGGAATCTCGAAGGCCAAAGTTGCGGGATGAATTGTGAGGGAATGATGACGGTTGGGACCTTGTTCCGGCCGGGTCTATTGTTAAGAAGTGCTATTAGCAACAATGGACTAAGTTCGAAGAATGCCCGGCGAGATGGAAGGGAAGTTTCAAGGGAGGTTCCGTCCCCTTGTAGGCAACAGCACAAACCTGGAAGGGTCACATGTCTCACTGTGAAGGTGACACGTGCCATCCTTGTCTGGAGTCTCACTTGGATCCTGTTCATCACTTTGGTTGTCAGCTCTTGTAAGTCACTTCTTTTCATTTTCTTTCTCGCCTATTTTTTTATTTTCATTTTTCGCCAAAACTTGTACTACGGGATTCAGGGCCTTTTTTTTCTCAAACACTGTGATTGCACACCATCATTCTGGCCAAGTTGTTGTCTCTCATTATTCGTAAAAAGCCTGATGGCCCTGGATCAGTCAAACCTTGTGTACCTTTCGTGTATCTCTTTTACACCTGGGCCCTGGCCTCTGATCTGTACCATATAATTTCCCGTGTTTCCACATCCTCTTGACTAAGTTCCAAGGTGAACTGCACCAAAGACATCCATTCCTCTCGTGCGTGTGTGCCTGCCTGCCTGCCTGCCTGTTGGCCTGCCCGCCCGCCCGCCCGCCTGAGGGCAAAGAGGGAAAAGAGGACATTGGTAGAGGAGGAAGTGATTACTGTTGCATCCTACTTAGAGGGTTCAGCAGCTCACTGGCTAAATGGATTGGTAGCTTCAAAGGGTTTCGGCAGAAACATGGGTGATTGGGCTCAGACCCACACCATAAAAAGCTTTATGGATTTAGTGGAGGCTCGATGGCACAACCCTCAGCAGACGCATATTGCCACAGATGGGCTATGGAAACTTGACTCTAGGAAGTACAAGTCAATGCGAGAGCTCACCACGATCGTAGAGCGTCTGATTGTCGTTCCAGGAGTGGAGTACAATCCGTAGGTCTTATTGACCATGTTCTTGAGAATTCTTCCTACAGATATCAAGAACTCAGTAGCTTGTGAAGCTCGTCGAGAGTATCACACCTTTGAGACATTCAACAAGAAGGCCTTAGACTTAGAGGCTACGCTGGGTGGTGCTCAAACCCCCACTACGGACGGAAGAAAGAAGAAAACTCCACAAGAATGGAAGAAGAAGGGTAGTCGATTGCCGATGGTTGATTCCGATGGGAACCAAACTGAGATCGATGATGTTTCTGAGCTTGTGGAGGGATCAAAGTTAGATGGCGAGGAGAGTGCTGAGGGTAGCAACCTCGCCGCCGTAGTTAAGACTAAGGCAGGTGGCCGCGACAAGGGCGGTCAGCAAAGAAGTCGAAGTCACCAACCCAAACAAAATAGCTGCTTGGGTTAGGGCAAGTTTGGATCAGGAAGTGTGGTGCAACCGTTGGCAGCGGGGTGCTTGCGTGAACTGCGGCGAGTACGACCATACACAGCTTAAGTGCAAGAACACGAAGGTCTCGCAGAAGATCCCTCCTAAGGGTGGGTATCCTTCTTTTCAGTCTGGGGCCTCTACGAGCTTCAGCTCGGGAAACACTTAGTGCCGGTAGAAGTTGTAGCTGCTTCTACTCTCGTTGAAGCGGGTAATGTACCCTCCCCGTTTCAAGAGTTGGCCGAAGCTATTGACTCCTTGGCCACCCCGTAGACACATCCGAACCCAACTATACTCTGTACGTTGGATGTGTCTGAAGCCGTAGAGGACCTTCAAGGTGAGTGGTCGGCAAGGGACCCTTGTGAGTCTTGGGTGGCACTAAGTAGAGGTCCTAGAGGGGAGCACTTCGTTGTGGAAGTTGGTGTGGGTGGTCGCAAGTGCGGCGCCTTCGTAGACATCGGCTCCACGCGAAACTTCATAAGTCACGACTGCGTTGATAGACTGCGCCTAAAGGGGGGAACGTCTTAGTAGACCGGTAGCATTTACTTTGGCCAACCAAGGGCGCATGTTGCTGGTGGACTACGTTAAAGATATAGTCTGCACTTTCTCCTACCCAGGAGAAGAGATAAGCCATAAGATATCATTCCTGGTGAGCGACGATTTGCCCTTTGACATGTTGTTGGGCATGTACTACCTCGAGGTTATCAAGCCCCAGTTTGACTGGGACAAGAAGGTGTTGAAGCACGAGTTGCGTAATGGGAGGACCGTTAGACTGGCTAAGTATAAAGCCAGTAGGTTAATTGACTCCTATGGGTGCTTATGCGCATCTGCCTTTTACAACTATTATAAACAGAACCAAGAGGAAGGAATGTACTTGGTCTATGTCTCTGCAAAAGGGGAGGCCGTTAAAACACCCCAGAGATAGAGACCATCGTCGCTAAGTACCCTGATATGTTTGAGGAGCCTACATGAGTCGTAGACAGGGAGGTTGTCCATGCCATAGAGATCATCCCAGGCAGCAAGACACTTAAGGGAAGAATCTATACGATGGCTCCGACCGAGTTAGACGAGCTTCGGCGACAACTGAAAGAGCTCACAGAGAAGGGGCGGATTCGGCCTAGCACCTCTCCCTTTGGCTCACCAGTCTTATTTGTTCCAAAGAAAGGGGGAACACTAAGGATGTGCATTGATTATAGAGGCCTCAATGCCATCACCGTTAAGAACGCAGAGCCTCTACCACACATCGACGACCTATTGGATAGGGTGCAGGGGTGTAAGTACTATACCAAGATAGACTTAAAATCCGGCTACCATCAGATTGCCATAAGACCAGAGGACCAGCACAAAACCGCATTTCAGACCAGGTACGGTCTGTACGAGTTTGTGGTGATGCCCTTTGGCCTTTGCAATGCGTTGGGCACATTCCAGCACGCCATGAATAGGATCTTCCATGACTACTTGGATAAGTTCGTTGTCGTGTACCTCGACGACATACTTATTTTTAGTAAGACTGTCGAGGAGCATGCTCAGCATGTAGACAAGGTACTTTCACTCCTTCGGCAGCACAAGTATAAACCTAGAGAAATGCGAGTTCGGTCGCACTTGAATCTTGTACTTGGGTCATGAAGTATCCGCGAATGGGATTAGGCCCGAAGATGCGAAGGTGACTAGTATTAGGGACTAGCCACGACCCCAGTCTATGACTGAGGTGAGATCATTCTTGGGAATGTGTGGTTATTACCGCAATTTCGTTAAGAATTATAGCACGATCACATCTCCCTTGACTGATCTAACTCGACTTGACACACCATGGGACTGGACCGACGAGTGTGAGGCAGCTTTCAAGCGTTTGAAGCATGCTCTCACACACCATGAAATTCTCATGGTGCCCGACCCGCAGAGGCCATTCGTTGTTACCGCTAACGCAAGCCAATATGGCATTGGCGCAGTGTTGGCTCAGCAGGAAGGGGAAAAGTTGAGACCGGCTGAGTACATGAGCAAAAATATGCCATCAAAGAAGTTGGCAAAGTCCACCTACGAAAGGGAACTCTACGCTCTCTACGAGGCACTTGTCCACTGGAGGCACTATCTGTTAGGGAGGTTCTTCTATTTGAGAACTGACCATCGGACCCTCAAGTGGATCAAGACCCAACCAGTTCTCTCCGATGCACTCTAACGCTGGATTGAAGTTATAGATCAGTATGAATTCAAACTAGACTATGTGAAGGGAGAGTATAACAAGGTTGCGGACACGTTGTCTAGAAAGGCAGACTACCTAGGTGCGCTGATTTATGAGTTTGGCTTATCTGAGGACGTGACTCGATCTTTGGGGGAAGTTGACAAGGAAGATCCCATCACGATGGACATCATCAACAAACTACAGGCCAAAGACAAGGCCACCTCTGACGAGTTTGTGATGGTGGATGGGTTACTCTTTCTTGAAAAGGCAGGGTTTAAAAGGTTAGTTGTTCCATCTAGGGAGATTTTGCGTAGTTTATTTTTAGGGGAATGATTTGGATGGTCCCTCGTACATCATTCGTATCCCTGGTCACCTACGCAATTACCCTGTGTTTCACGCCTCCAAGCTTGCACCTTTTGCTGAGACAGCACAGTTCCCATCACGGAGATCTATGCTGCCCCCAACCATGGATGGCCACGTGGACGTCGACGACATCCGGGATCACAGAGACACGCCTGTTCCCAAGCCACCTGGCAGGGGAAGACCTCCTAAACCTGCAAGAGAATACAGAGTACATTTCAGGCATCATACTGATCCTAACGAAGATCGATGGACTTCAAGGGAGGAACTTGTCAAGACAGCTCCCCAGATCATGGCAGATTATGAGAAGAAACTGAAGGGGAAGGGACCAGCATGAAGCATCTCAGCGGACTTTCGAAGCTAAGGGGGATGGAATGTGAGGAACAAGCCCTCGAGGGGCCCTATCAGACATCACATGTTCTGGACTAAGGCCCCCAGCAAGCCAAGTGCCCGCCCTAAGTGAAGGCGGACCTGAATATTCGTCAGAGGCCAAAATTCGACATTTCCATATGAGGGTATTCAGGCTCTCGCAGCACGCCAGTTGGTTGGGTAGACGCGTGAGCCTCACTAAGCTGTGTCATACAGTTGGCCCAGGCCTTGACAGTTGCGCCTGGGCACATACACACAAAGCAGGGCCGATACATCGGGAAGCACGCCATCGGCCTTTGGAAAAGCAGCACTGCCGACACACCTGCCTGGGAGCCCTGCACAGATGCAGCAAACAAGCCCAAGTCTGTGAACTCAGGCCGTGCCCAACTGAAAAGGGCCCAGGCCCTCAACTGTAGTCTCGGGCCTGGGCGCAGGGTCTGAGGCCCAACCGGAAGCTACTGGAACCTTCCAGCCAGGCCACACGCAGCATCCAGGAGGCTGCCACTTCCATAAAAGAAGTGAGGCAGCCCAGGCCAGGATTCTGGCCAGTGCAGGCAATGCGGAAGTGCTGCTGCCCTATCGCTTGATGCTGCGCTGCTGCCAAGGGCGCTGACGAGGCGCGTAGTGGTGAGGTGGGGCGCTGCAAGGCAGCGGGGCGCAAGCAGCCATAGCCGGGCTGCTGGGCGCCAGGGGGTAATGCGGGCGATCGGGTGGTCTTCAGGGAAGGAGGCGAGTGTGGGGTAATCAAGGTCTGATTGAGGGTGATGAGATACACACCTGGTGCATGAAGAAAGGTCGGCTATCGAGTTGACAGTCATGTACATTGGTCTTCGAGAGTCGAAGTGAGCCTGTTGCGTGAACCAGCTGTGGGCAGGATGGTCGGGCAGAGTAGGTTGGGCGCTGGGCGCCAGACAGAGAGGAGCGACTTTGGATACTGTGTTGGTGTGGCCTACGGGCTTGAACATCGGCTCGTTACTTCATTGTATTGCTCTATATGGATGGTTTCTCGGTGCATTTTGTACTCTCTGCTTGGATACGACTACCTGGACATCTGTGTGATTTCACAACTTGGTTTTCTGTACATCGTTCACACACATATTCCCTGCACTGGCAACCACCGGGGCATTTTGCAAAGACACCTGTGCCTCTGTCATGGGCGTGGTACTTTGATTGCTTTTTCGAACCCGGCGTTTGTTTTCTTTGTTTTTTTTCCCCCATTTCGAAAATGGGTTGTGGCATCAACGTACTAAGTCTTGCCCCTTTAACAAATCTACGGTCATGATTGTCAGGTGCATGTTTGGGACAAACTTGGAAGTGTGGCATCAAAGTTCACTCCACTGCTGTATGATAATTGTTAAACCCCCTTAAACAAAAAAAAGGAAAAAAAAAAAGATAATTGTTAACCCCCCTAGTATGTCACAGTGGCTGGTGACGTAGGAAATCTTCGGCCATCAACTACGTCACAGTGGCTGTCACTGGCTGATGTGATGACTCAACTACGTCGCAGCGGCTGCTGTCGTAGAAAATCTCCGGGCATAACGTCATTGTACGATGTACGTTAGAGTGGCTGGTGACTTGGCAAAATAACATCATCGTCGTGCAACGAATCTGGAGCCGTATCATCGTTAACCTGCTTCATGAGTATCGCTCGCCACTATGTTCTACTGTAAAAATTATATGGCCATGACCTGTTAGGATCCCTGGTTTCTGGTCCCTGCTAGTCGTCCCTTGCATTTGGAATGGTGGCAATGTCACAGGTCTGGAAGACTTTTGGATGCATCATGCAACGCCCGCACTACTGCCAGGTGCAAGTATGACTAGAAGTATCCATTTTGGCACTGTTTTTTTTTTTTTTTTTTTTTTTTGGCACTCTAAAAATTCTAAAATAGTTATTTTGATGATTTTGTTTGTTTGTGGTTGTTGGACCTTGTTTCTCTGAGTCCTCTTTTCGTGCAGTGCCTGTTTACCTGTTTCTTGTTTGGCAGTTTGTTCCCTCTGTTGTGAAGACCACACAACCGCTTTACTTTGACTACAGACTCCAGAGCCCAACGGCTACAGTGCTTCTCCTTCCACCAGATAAGCTTGGCGCCAGTCAGGTAATGACAATGCTCAAGTGGTGAATTTGATGCTCTATTCTCTTGTCTAATTTTTTGTCCACAAATCCATGCGCAAGGGCAAATGCCTNTCTCTCTCTCTCTCTCTCTCTCTCTCTCTCTCTCTCTCTCTCTCTCTCTCTCTCTCTCTCTCTCTCTCTCTCTCTCTCTCTCTCTCTCTCTCAGATATCTATCTCCATGTGTGCATGTGTGCTTGGGATGTCATAAGACTTCTGCACTTGTAGTGCACAATGCATGATAAATTTCTCATGCACAAGAGCATGAGAAATATATTCGCAATTTGATTGGTGCATTATAGCAAGGTCCAAAAAGACATCCTAAGAAAGCTACTCCGGTAAGAGAGCTTCAATAGGAAGAAAAAGACAAGGATTGTGACAGACTGTTTCGTGAACTTTCACCAACTCATGCAAAACACAGCGATCATGACAGCTTCCAGAACCAAAAGAGCAATCATTTACTCTTTCTTGTAAAAGTCTCTGGGTCCCACTTGTGCCTTGTCTAGCGTATGGCTCCCCTTCACCTTATGCAGGCACCCTGTCATTGCATTGCCACATTCCTTCAGAGGGAAGCAACGTGGGTCCCACTTGTGCCTTGTCTACCCTGTACCCTAGGTGGGCACCCTGTTATTGCAGCCTGTTTACTCTGCAGAGCTGAATATATGGCTCAAAAGAGTCGAAAGTTTGAAACGCTTATATCCCTTTAAAGACCTTTGTACTCTCCGTCGGCAGAGTCTCTCTGCTCTCTTTCACTGCCATGCAGTCGATAATACTCAATCTTACCAATTTTTTTCTTCTCGTGGATCAAGCTGAACAGGCATTAGCTAAAGTGGTACTAAGACCCCCACGGGGAACCGTGCGAGTTCAAACTTGTACGCTGATCGGCGGAAGGGTGATGAGCCGCATCGTCCGGCCACATGTTTGTATCGTGTATTTGCTGCAAAAGTAAAATGTAATACTACTCCTTAAGTCTCCTTGCAGTATGCTCCTTTTTTTTTTTCCAAATAACCTGCAGTCTGAGAGTCTGAGAGTCTGTTTTTCTGACCAAAACTCTGTCTCGCTGTGGACCGTTGATCGACCTGATCTTCCGTTCTCGGTTTGTGGGTGACAGGTGGCAAACTCTCCAACCCATGGTCCAAGGTTTATTCCGGCGGGTCAAAAGGTGAACGTATGGGTCAACCTCAAGTTGCCAGACTCCTACACCAATCGTGGGATTGGTGTATTCCAGGTACAGAAACTGATCCACTTGTGTCGATGGTCTGTATCAGGTTTGGCTGCTTGTGTGTCTCAGTCACATCCTAGACTGCCATGTGTCAGGTTTCAGTTTTGTGCCTCTTGTGGTCTGGAAATCATCAGCATGAAATTGTGCCATTTTGTGCCTCCTAGCATCTACAAGTTTTTTTAAAGAATTTTCAATTTTGAGAAAATTTGGACCATTTCAGACATTTCTCCATTTATGCGTGTCATCCTTACTTGCGCAGGTGCCATGCTAATCTTCTCTCTCTGTATCATGCCAATTTTAACGGATGTCCCGAAGGACAACATCTATACAAGTTTTTAAAGCCAAGGAGATCATAAAATCAATGAAGTGCTTTCTGAGCTTTCACCAGTTGAATTTTGAATGCCATCTTGGTCTCAACCTCAACTTGATGTTTGGGGAACCCATTTCGATGTACATGTCTCTCTGGGCCAGAAGTCATCATCGAAGCACCACTGTAAGGTGATCCTCCTCCCCCTCCCGATCCCCCGCGGTGCACCCGTCTCCATACAGGTAAGATGACAGCAAGGTGCAGTTGTGCATGTGATCGCTGTCGTCATCCTAAAAAGGAAACTAAGCAGAAAAGAGCTTAATGGTCGCTTGAGTGAGCCGCCAGTACGCTCTCCAGACAACTTGGTAATCGAAATTGACTCAATCTGAAAGATTTTGGATGAACAGTGAGTGCTACCAGACCAAAATGGCTGGCGGCGCCAGCCAAGAAAAGAAAAGAAAGTGCAGAAGGAAAGAAGCGTGCTGCTGTCGGTCCGGTTTTCTTTGGCACACGGTGGAAAAAATCCACATTGGGAAAAGGAGAGGCTGGGAGGTATGGGTGGTTTAAAGTTTAAACCCTGAAGAGAAACCAAGGATGAAGATTCTGGAGGTAGGAAAGTGGAGAGGACAATGGACACACAATTCCCTCTCAACTCTCTACACCCTTTTACTCCCAGCAGCACCCTTCGACACCTTTCAGTCCATTCCCTCCTGAGTCCCACAAACCCACCCTCTTCTTTTTTTCCTCTCCCAAATCCCCTCCTTCCTTGGAAGGACGAAAAGTAGATATTGATAACCAATGATGCACATCAAGATATAGTCGAAGATGTACTACCGGTAGGTAAGCTTTACTATCACAGAGATTACATCTTTGCATGATTTTTTGTCGTCGCACATAGTTGTGAAGCCAACCGTCGCCCTTCGTCATCTTTGCATGATTTTGTCGTCGCACATAGTCGTGCAACCATCACCCTACTTCTGCCTATCCCTTCTCATAGTTGCACATAGTCGTACAAAAACCATGGGTTTTTGTACAAAAACCCATGGTCAACGATGAAAGGACGAAAACCAAGGGTTTGAGTGTTCAATCACCTCATGATTTACGGCTGGCTTGAACCCTGTCGCTCACAGAGAGGACCCTCAAAACTCACGCCCTTGGTAATATTGTCATTCTGACTGGGGTATCCTGTCCTGTATTATATGTGCACTCACTGCACTGTGCATGTACGATCTACGTGCATGTGCGACTTTTATGGTAGAATTCACCCCGGTTGGATAAAAATGAATCGTGCGTCCCATGTTCGTTCCTCTAAGTAGAATAAAACGTTTAGAAATAGGCAAAGAAAGACAATGAGCGAGTTCCAAGCAACATGAAGATGATGAGGAGGAGGACTCTGTTGATGATGTGCTCTTTTCTGGATCAATGGATGTTTAGAACAACGAGCTCCTGTGTAAAGGATCTTCTTTCAAAAGCAGCAATGTAGCAGTCTTTGCGTCATCAGTTTTGGGGGAGTCGAAGCTTCAGGGGTAAGAAGTCGGGTCTAAGGGGCACACGATCGAGACTCAGTCGTCAGGGCCTAGAAAAGTCAATCCCAGGCCCCAGGTAAGTCACCAGTCAGGCTCTACTGAGTCCACAAGCCCAAAAGTCAAGGGCTTCTACGGTCACAGATCATAGTCAAATCGAAAGGCTCAGAAAGTGTGCGTGTACGCAGATGCATACTGGGTACGTGCAGCCTCTGATCACGGCCAAATCCCAGTCGCTCACACAAGAGAATCTCAGCGCTTCGGAATGAAGAGGTAGGCCATTATGGTCACCCACAATAAAAGCTGGCTGCCTCGCCAGTCTTCATAGCTGGGCGTATTCACACTGCTGAGGAGACTAAGAAGGAGAGTGCCAGCACCAGAGAGACAGACAGTGAAGAATGGTTGCTACAGCTGGAGATTGAAAGTGAGTGGTAGCCATAGCTAGAAGGAGAAGGTGCTCAGGTGCCATAGTTGGGATGAGTGAGACACACACACACACACACACACACACACACACACACACACACACACACA